AAAATTAGCTGCAGCATTGTATAAGCCGCTGTGTTCAAAGCGTGTGAAAAAAGTAGCGGCTTATAGTCCGGAAATTACGGTAAGTCTTTCCTTTTAGATAAATCCTATAGCTAGGATCGGCTTGGGTTTCCTGAGCTATCCTTTAGTTCTGCTGCTATGGGCTTAGACTGCTGGAGGACAAACTGACCACATTTCCTCTCTCTGCTGTCTTTACTTGTTCTACTCTACTTGTTTGTATTTGTAATTATTTATATCTTAACATGTTTTTTGTTATTTCCTCCTATAGAAAGTTCACCTGGACCTGCCATTCTGTTTGTTTGTTTCTACTTCCTGTCCAAACACCAGCTGGTCGAAGAAGATGGCCACTATTCATGAGCCTGGTTGAGCTGGAGGTTTCTTCCTGTTAAAAGCAAGTTTTTCCTTTCCACTGTCGCCTTTGTGCTTGCTCGGGATGGGAGACTGTGACGAAGTGAAGATTCAACACAATCTTCTGGTTGGTTTCTGGTCACTTCATGGTTACCATGGCTACAGATGTGTTTGTAATAATCCTCGGCGGAGTGATGCGTCTGGGCAGTAACAAACCAAACAAACCGACTCGGCCGTTCTCCAACTACAAGCTCAAACTCCGGTGAAGTTTATTTTGACGCCTACGTTAAACACGGAAGACGTGGAGCTCGTGGATCACGTGACCATTGTTCATCCTTCCCGTTGGATGGCAACATTCCTCTGTTGGTTGAGTGTGAAATCTTTAAAACTGCGGCGTGGAGCTGGTCGACGGGCAGACGACTGGCTCAGCTGTGGAGCTCCGAGGAGACCATGATGTTGACCTTCGAAGGTCTCACCCCGCTCTTTGTCAGAGAATATATATCTGCGTGCTAGCGCCACGCTAACAGCACGTAGCTGTATGCTACACGGTAAATTGCGGTCGTCATGGAGACGGTTTTAGCGATGCCCCGGCGACCTCTACAGAACCTTTGGGTCCTCCTGTGTGGCTGTAAAAACCCTGCGGTGGTGCCAAAAAACATCACGGAAAGTTATTTTCTTCACAAGAGCCCACAGAACTTCAAAGTTCAAGGATGTATGTGGACATGTGGTTTCTTCCTAGAGAGTCCGAAGTGGTTTCAGGGTTCTGGTTCTGATGGAGGCGCTCCGGTGACTTCATCGTATCTGGGTTTGACGCTCGGGTTACTGAGCTGAGCTACAATAAAACACCAGGGTCTCGTGTCTGAACCGCACTTGTTAGAAGTCAAAGCGGATCGCAGGCAGCAGGACCTTCCAGAACCAGAGACGGGTTTACCTGTACAGGTGTGTGATATCAAACAAGCTTCTACGTGTTTGTGTGCTAACAGAACCATCAGAACCATCCTGCTCATTGAAAGGTCTAATCTACAGAAGCATCAATGCAAACGTCTTATCTTCTGGTCCCATCGGACCTCAGGACCAGGTGGTCTTCAACATAAGAAGTTCCACCAACTTTCAGTTCTTCGGGACGTGATAAAACCATAGTCACATTTATTTGATCCTAAAACTGTAAAATAAACAGACGCTGCTTTGATGTGCCGTCTCTGAGGGAGCTGAACGGTGAATGTTTGTAGTTCTGGAGGTGAGTGTTGTTCTGGAAGTAAACCTAAATGTTTTTGGTGTAAGATCTTCAAGTGAGTAGGAGTTACACTGGAGAAGAACAACGAAAGGTTTTTCACAGAGTTTGGATCCTGGAGAGAGGAGGGAGACGTTTTATCCACCACCAGGAGCAGCGGAGGAGCCAGAGGGGGGCCAGTGGTGGCCTCGGCCACCATAGAATAATCTTCGGCCACCCCAGTCATTTGAGGAAAATATACGTTTAAGTATTAAAAAAACTAGAAAGCAGAGTTTCCTCAAATGAAACGGGTGCTTGGTTTATAAACAATACAGCGGAAGCCATCTTGGATTTTGTTGCGGCAACCCAATTTTTGCCCGAGCAGCCACAAGCCAAAATTAAAGTCGGTACTTTGCGTATTTTACAAGTTATGCTCACATTATGAACAGGTGGACGGACGGGGGTTATTTCTAATTCCCCTCGTCGCTCCGTCACAAGGAACAAAAAGAGGCTTTAAGTTTCTGAGGACAGTCGTCAGGTTCTCGGTGGCCATTTTCAAGTCTTCTTTGCTTTTAGAGATTTATAATAATAAAAACAGTCTAATCCACATGACCTAAAGTTTTTTTTTTGGGGGGGGACAAACTAAACTTGTATCCCGTTTTGTTTCGTGGAGGTGCCGGATCATCTAACACCTGCTCGTGACGCATTCAAAAGCCGTTTGAGCTGCCAGCCACACCAGATCCCCGGGGCTCGTGGGGAAGGTGTGGCAGAAAAACGTGGCCAAACTTTTTTACCAGCTAACGAGCACGAGAGGTTTCCATGCCTTCAGTTTATAAAACAGAAGATTCACATTATCTGTGAAGCACAGCAGGAGGTTCAGTCTGTGAAACGCTCAGCTCCAGAGCAGGAGACGGAGAAGAACAAGGTATTTGAGCAGCAAACGAGCTCAACGAGCTCCGATTTCAGTTCCTCCGTCTCTGACGATAAAACAAGAAGAAAAAAACATTTACCACTAAAATTGTCTGACACTTGTCCTGAAGTCCAAGCCTGCAACACATCTCATGGACCGGACCAACAAACGCCTTAATGACCCTCAGCAGGGAGGGGAGGGAGCAGGATCTGTCCGAAGGTTCAGCTCCGAAACACGGAGCTTTGACAGCTGTGAACGGAGCAAGTTTCTCAGATGGGAGGAGAAATATGTTCGTAAGACGAGTGAAGAAGCTGCCGTTAAGAAAACAAGAACATTCTTGAGACGTCCTGGTTTCTGATTTTTAGTGTTTAGAGTTCAATTAATGAAAAATTTAATTAACCAAAATAGATGTTTTCTCTTGAGAGAAATAGGAAGATGTCTGTCAAAGCCATAATGGAGATTAAACATCGTACATGTGAGGAAATTAGCAACAATTTACAGGAAATGCTTGAAAACTTGACGAGTTATTAATTCATTTGTTTATTTTCTTACATTTCATGGAAAACCTTTGAGTTTGGGTCATTTTAATTAGCGGCATTTCCCTTTTTAAAGGTTTCTGCTCCGAGTGGCTGTTAATCTGAGATTTCCTCTGATTCTCCAAACTGAGAAACTGATTTAAACTTCCAAACTGATTTATGTCATAAATACAGATAAAATCTCTTCTGTTGGTCAGGAAGAGTTTAAACAGCTGATCCGGTTCTTTCTGGCGTCAGTCTGTGGCTGATCCACCAAAGTGACCTCTAGTTTACATCTTCCTCACGTAACCGTCCTGCTCCGGTCCACTTCAACACGTAACGTAGCTTTATTTTCTTCAGCTGAGTTCCTGTAAGGAATGGTAAGGTAAGAACGTCCAGGGCCCATCCTTAACAGATGTCTGAACCTCCTCAGCTGTTTCCTCTGGATGTGGAGGAGCAGCGGTTCTACTCTGAGTCTCTCCTGGAGAACTGAACTTCTCACCTCATCTCTAAGGGAGAGTCCAGCTACCCTGCAGAGAAAACTCATTTGGACCTCCTGGATCCAGACTCTGGTTCTTTCGGTCTCTACCCAGAGTTCAGGACCACAGGTGAGGGTAGACACGTAGACCGACCAGTAAACGAATCTTCTCCCTCTTCACTACAATGGACCGGCACAAAGTATGCAATACCGCTTGAAGCTGCACCGAGCCGTGCGTGGATCTCACACTCCATTCTTGAGCTCCTCGTTTCATGAATACATTTAGGCATTGTTTACATCTGGACACGTCTAACAGCTGGATGGAGTAATCTGCTCTACAGGAAGTCCAAAACAAAAGTATTTCTTTAAAGGAATAAATATTACCCGCTGCCTTCACACCAGACTAAAACTACGATGGGGTGGAATCTGTTAGCTCTCAGAGAATATGCTAGGGATGACTCTCAGCTACTGCAGACAGAAGAACGAAGACAAGGAAACACGATCGCCTGACTTTCATGGCAGCGAGCGATAAAACCTCCAGGAGAACCGAACTATCGGGATGTCAGAGTTAGGATCTGAGCAGCTGCATCATCATCATCATCATCATCATCATGGCTGCTGCGCCACTTCTTTGGTCCAGAAGATGACAATAGCATGCTCATTACAGTAAACTCAGGAGGCGCTCGTGTCGCTCCGAGCACTCCAATGTCATTAAGCAGTCATTAAGCAATTCTTCAGCAGTCATTCAGTTCTCATTCAGCAGTTGTTCAGCCCTCATTTAGCAGTCGTTCAGTTCTCATTCAGCAGTTGTTCAGCTCTCATTCAGCAGTCGCTCAGTTCTCATTCAGCAGTCGTTCAGCTCTTGTTCAGCAGTTGTTCAGCTTTCATTCAGCTCTTATTCAGCAGTCGTTCAGCTCTTGTTCAGCAGTCGTTCAGCAGTCGTTCAGCTCTTGTACAGCAGTCCTTCAGCTCTCATTCAGCAGTCATTCAGCTCTCAGTCCGTAGTCGTTCAGTTCTCATTCAGCAGTTGTTCAGCTCTCATTCAGCAGTCGTTCAGCTCTAGTTCAGCAGTCGTTCAGCTCTCATTCAGCAGTCGTTCAGCTCTCATTCAGCAGTTGTTCAGCCCTCATTCAGCAGTCATTCAGCTCTCAGTCAGTAGTCGTTCAGTTCTCATTCAGCAGTCGTTCAGCTCTTGTTCAGCAGTTGTTCAGCTCTCATTCAGCAGTCGTTCAGCTCTAGTTCAGCAGTTGTTCAGCTCTCATTCAGCAGTCGTTCTGCTCTAGTTCAGTAGTCGTTCAGCTCTTGTTCAGCAGTCCTTCAGCTCTCATTCAGCAGTCGTTCTGCTCTTGTTCAGCAGTCCTTCAGCTCTCATTCAGCAGTCCTTCAGCTCTCATTCAGCAGTTGTCTCCCTGTATTTTAATTTTTCATCCTGCTGATCATCAACATGAGAAAAAGCTGCCGTGAACTTTGTGTGTTCAGAGACTTGTCACATTTCAGACATTAAAGTAAAAACGGACTCACCGCTTTCGCTCTTCTCGATCACGTCCACCGTCTCGCCGGCCTTCAGGTTGATCTCAGAGTTCTCCTGCCTCTCGTAGTTGGCCACGGCCACGTACTGCTCCAGCACCATGGGCTCCGAGCTGTCGACCCCTGAGCGGAAGAAACAGGCCGTCAGCCACCTGCCTGCCGTGGCGCCCCCCGAACCCCCGCCGCACCCAAAAACACCACTGCACGCCCGGTGCGCCGCCATCGGCCGAGCCCCAGACTCTGCCGCCTCTGTACCTCCCTGCCCAATCAAAACGCGACCTCTCAGTTCGGCTGCATCGTCCCAAACGTCTGGCCATACAGCTGCGTCGACCCCCGTCCCAGAGCGAACGACTGAGGAGCATCGGAAATCAAAACAAAAGGAGGGGAGACGAGAAAAAGACTCGCAGGAGTCACATCTCACACCAACAGAGTGTCCAAGGCTTCGTCCAAACGGGCAAGTCCAAAAAGACAAAAGGCAGAGAGGAGCAGAAGGAAAAGGACAAACAGAGGAGCCGCTAAGGACGGGGGAGTAAATGAGTGGAGGAATGGTGACGTTTCCCTGTGGAAAATCAACAGTGCGGTTGAGAGGAAAGGCCTCCCCTCCACTGCCTGTGGGAGCCAGCCGTTGGACAGGGAGTCGGAGGGGGGGTGAACACACCAATCATGGCAGTCAGCACCGCTGGCCTTAAATAGAAACATATGAGGAGAGACGCATGCAGAAAGGAGTCTGGGTCCGTCTTTATGTGAAACAAAAGAGGCGATCGTTTCGGTCGAAGTTGGGACGTTTAGTTTTCTGCTTCGCTCTGAACGACGGAACTGTTCCGGCACAGTTTTATTTACTGAAAACTCCAACGGGCTGTTCGACCACCAACAGGGAGGCCGCAGAGATTCAGAGGAATTTTTCCCTGCACTCCCCGGCATTTCTGATCACATCAGCACCACAACCTGAAACTACAACCAGAAAAACCTTTTATACTTCAACCCTAACAAAATCAGACGATTCCTGACGGGAACGCCGGCACCTAAAAAGACTCAAAATGCTGAATATCAATGGTGTTCGTAAACATTTCATACTAAACTTTAGGGGTTGAAAAGCACCAGGCAGCCAAACATGAACCTTAAAATGTATTTGATACTCAATACCATAACTCCCATCCTGTACGTTATGTAGACCTTAACTGTGTTTTCCCAAAACCTTTGCATCGTCAAATCCAAAACGTGCATCACATTCATTTAAACTCAACCGACACTTTTAAGACACGCCTGTTCAGTTGCTCGTTAAAGCAAATATCTATTCAGCCAATCACATGGCCGCACCTCGATGCATCTAGGCCTGATGAAGTTCAACCAAGAATCAACGGAGAAGAAGGGGGATTTAGGAGCATGGTGGTTGGTGCCGCCTCGAATCATCCTGAACAAACTGACGAACGGAATCCTACCTGTAAGAACAGGAAGGATTCAGACCCAAAGTAGCACCATTGAGGAGATCCTCAACATCAGACTACTGATTGAGATGCACCTGCAGCAAGCCTGTACCACGATTACACCAACTTTACAAAAGTGTTGGACCATGTCTCGCATGAAGGTTGAGGACAGGTTCTCAGAAACTACAACGTAGGCCAAAATCTCCAATTGGCGTCTACCAAGGCTGTCTCTTCTCCCTCGTCCTGGTCCTAAACATGGTGCAAGTAGCGCTACCAAACTTCCATCCCTCCAAAATCATCGAACAATGGCCCGTCTCCAACCTTCGCTTTGATGGTGTGTTGACCTGGTGGTATTTAGGAAAAAGGAGCTCCAAGAACTCACCACCAGATTGGAGAATGCAGCTGCAGCATGTGCTATGGAAACAAGTGAAAAAGGTAGGAGCCCGGTTGTCCGCTAGATTCTTCAAACACCAGCCCACATCAGAATGAGTGGGCGAACTCTAGAAGAAGACGTCAACTCGTTGGATCTTCTATGAGTCAAGATGGCAGCTTTACAGAAGAAATAAAAAAGGATCCATCGGCTTCGCTGTGAAGGCCAGACCTTATGAATCATTGCTACCCTCCGCCCTATCAAGAGCTGGACCCCACAGCACATACCGAGCAGAAAATACAGTTCTTTGAAGATAACTGTTCCAGGAGGAAGCTGCATGTATATACAGAGACCACAAAACAACCACCTATGTCAGAAAACCAACCTGGACTGGACAAGAAGACATCCCTCCAGGTCGTTAAAGTGAAAGCGAAAAAAGGCGAACAGAGGAAGAACTGGGTGGATAACGGCTGATGAATCTGCTGTCCTGTTGATCTGGACCAAAACTCTGAGGAATGTTTCCAACACCTCGCTGAATCTGTGCCGCAAAGATTTAGGGCGGTTCTGAAGGCAAACCGGGTCCAACTCGGCACAAGGTGCTGTAAGTCTATATGAACTGGTTTGGATCAGATAAACGTGGCTGCATGATGTCATCAGCAGGCGGCGGTACGGGCTACAATAAAAAAGGGAGCGTACCCTAACGGAAAAAAAACAAACGTATATCCAATAGAATAAAGAAAATGGCTCTCCAGAGATTTGTTGCTTGCGAGGTGATATTTTCTGAGGCAAAACTTGAACACGAAACATCTGAGTCAACTTCTTTTTAAGGCAAAACTTACAATTTTTTGTTCCAAATTGGGCAAAAACACGGATCTGATTTTTGTAAAATCTTGCAGTAAAATAGTGAAAACCCTTCCTCCCCCAATGAGAGATGAGCAAACTGATTCTTGTCTCTGCGTTTCTTTAGCATCTCTTCCAAAATACAGACAAGGTGGAAATAATATAAAAAAAAAGCCAGATGAGAAAAGGCAGCCCAGATCCAGCCTTTAAAATTTTACTCTGTGAAAATGGAAACCATACTTCTTTCAGAAACATCTCAAATCCTAAAATCCTGTAAGATTCTGCTTTTTGTTAAATTTACGGTAACGTTGGAGGTTTTCTCCAAGATGTTAATAAAAGACCAGTTGTGGTTTTTAAAGGATGGTTTGTTGCTCGTAATTTGGACTGACTCACTGGGTAGTTAACAGGCACAGCAGTCCGTAAATATTAACCTGATTAAGAACATATTCAAGACTAAAATACTCCTTAATGAGCATGCTAAGAAAGAAGTATTCAAATTAAGCTTTAAAGAATACAGGATTACTCCTGGGGAAAATAATCATCCTGGTTGCAGCAGTCAGAGCAGAACAGGAAAACTATGAGTTAAAGGAAAATTCAACTTTAGGTAAAAGGAGGAACTCCAAGTGTTGGGAAATAAATATAACGTATAATGTTTTCAGGAATATAAACACAATAAAATCTCATGATGGAGCCCAACGCTGCTGAGAAAATTTAAAAGTATGGATGCACGACATTGGATTTTTGGTCGCTATCCGATATGTTAAAACATTAGGCCGATAGCAATGCCGATATTATTTTTCCTAGATCTACTTACAGAGACTACGTAGCTTTCTCTGCTGCGGAACTAAAATATTACATTATTCTGCACGGTCTTTGTCAGTTTGTTCTGCTACCAAATGCAGATGCCAAAAAGGGGCTGAAAATTATTAATTTAAGTACAAAATTGTTATTTAAATTACTTATTTAAATACAATTTAAAAGAACAATAGTTAAATTAGAAGTTTTTTCTAATAAATAACATTTTAGCTGTGCCTGGTGGAGATCTAAAATTGAAATAAATACTATTTATAGCTAATATATTTGCTATTTGCAAAAGTAATTTTGAAAAAATGCTCCAAAACAGGAAATATGAAAACAGCACTTCCTGTTAGCCGCTACGCTACAAGTAGCTTTTTTAATTAATTAAATGGTGACAACCTGTGTTTGTTAAGTCACTAAGTAAGAAGTGCATTTGTTTCTTTAGAGTTTGAGGGATATGTTTCTGAATTGTTGACTGCTTTTAAGCCATTTTAAGGTCACAACTTAGGGTAGCCGTTAACAATTAGCTGTTAGCAGCTAGCCGTTAGCAGATAGTGCTAGCTGCTCTCAGGGCACAACGTTTTTCTTGTTTTCAAAATGAAGCAGGAATCCTTCACGTTTCACAGAATTGTAAAAATGATGCGATTAAGTTTGCTTGAAAATAGCATTTAAAAAAAAGGTATAAATAAATAAATACATTCTGAAATAAGAGAGTTATGGAAATAAAACTACAGATTTTAAAATACTAAATGTAAGTATGCAGGGAAACGTAAGATTTTCTTATTTTATTTTAATAGAATTTTGGGTAGAAATGTTATTCCCTGAGTTTATTAGGGAATAACATTTATAATAACAGGGAATAACTCAGGGAATTAGTTCCCTGAGTTATTCCCTGCCTCTTCCATCTTGACTCATCAATAAAAAATGAGTGCGATCACGGGCAGCAATCCAATAAATCCGAACCGGACTAGAGTCTCAGCCACGTGCACACCTCCAGTCCACATTCACTCAGCTGCTGTCGAGGTCTACACATCCAGAGACGGATGAGCAGAAAGAAGCTGGTTTTCAGCAGATGGCACGTGCAAAGCTTCCGTCCGGAGGGAGCTGAGGTGTAAAAACAGAAGAGAAACGCTGGATGCAGCTGGCAGAGCATGCAGACATGTTGACACACACACACACACACACACACACACACAAGGCTACCTGAGGCCTCTTTCCTGGGGCTGTCTGTAAAGCCGTACATCCACACTGCAGACAGAGAAGAAGAAGCAGAAAGAGAGAAATTATTCACTTTGGCAGCGCGCAGCAGCGGGAGTAAAGAACGGCACACATTGAAGACGCAGCTGCAGAGGAGCAGCATCAGAACCAGAGTCTGGGTCAGCTCATGTAGGAGGGATGAACACAACCCGGCCCTGTTCTGAAGGTCAGAGCTTCCCTCCTGCTGCAGACGATATGTGAGGTAAATCACCGGATGAGACAACGTTATGAGCTGTTACAAGCACAGCTCATCCCACTCCCAGCATGCTGCACCCAACATCTACTCCCATCCCTCCTGGAACGTCAGGGATGGGCGTCAGCCACATCTTTAGTCATCCTAACCCCCTCCTGCAGCCGTGCACCCCATGTTTAGAGAAATAACACAAGCCTCGGAGCAGGAAATGAAAGGCCCGGCTTGAGAAGACAGAAACAGG